GTCTGAATTTTTCATCAGTCATCAGTATCGTTTTTTCATATCGTTTCGATCAAGGGAACTCATCGTACACCCGACTTTTTCCATCGTGTTTTCCATGTTATCGATAGAGCTTCTACTGGAAGTGTAAGCTCCCATATCGGGTGTCTCAATTTAAGTCTTTTATGAGGGTGTAAAATAATATCTTCATATAGTGGTAGTTTGGGTTTTCTTTTAATCTTATCCACTATGCGTTCTGCATGTATCAATCTGCGTATGTCTGGTGGGGCTATATTTGCCAAGACCTGTAACCATTGTACTCGTACTTCGGTCGTTCTTATTGTGCCTGTTATAATTCGCATCGTTTGGTTTAATTTCGTGTCCACCTTTTTACAATGTGAACTCCTGAACCAAACTGGAGCACAGTACTCAGCTACACTGTATACGAGGGCTAATGCTGATACACGTAAAGCTGTTGCGACGCTTCCCCAGGTCGATCCTGCTAGTTTTGAAATAATGTTATTCCTCGTCTTAAGTTTATTTTTCAACTCTTCTAGATGTTTTTTAAATGTCAAGGCTTTATCGGCTTTTATTCCGAGATATCTAGGGCATTCTTCGCTTGGTATGTCGATGTCGTTAATTTGTATTTCTAACTTCCTATTTGCTTCTCTATTATTTAAGTGGAGGGGCAGTGCCAATGTTTTATTCGGGTTTAAGGTTAAGTACCATTTTTCGGAATATATGTGTAGTATATTGAGGTCTCGATTTAGTAAGGTTTCTACTGATTCTAAAGTATCGGCTTGGGCAACCAGTGCTATGTCGTCGGCATACATACATTTCCTTGCCGTTGTTTCTGTTATATCAGAAATATAGATGATTTGGTGAAAGTACGGAACTTTGAGGTAGCCCATTTGTATCTGTATTAACTTGTTTTGACGTTGAGAAAAACTTTAAGTTTTCTATTCGATAACATGCATTTCAATAGTTCTAGTGTCTTTTTGCATTTTACTATTTTTTCCATCTTGAGTAGTACTTTTTTTTTCCAAACTGTGTCGTATGCTGAAGATAGGTCAAGAAATACTGCTTCAGACTTTAGTTTATTCTGGAAACAATTTTCAACATGTGTGGTAAAGGCCAACACTTGGTCACAGCAGTTTCTATTCTTTCTAAATCCAGCCTGTTCTATTGGCAGTGCCTTTTCTATTATTGGTAATGTGTGTTGATGCTCCTTCAACTTTGATTAAAATAAATTGTGATACACCAAATAATGAAGGTAGATAATATTATGTTACAACTTATTATTTATCAACAAGGATAGAGATGTAAATTTAACTATTTATGTCTTGTAAAAGTCAAGAACAAATAATGCTATGATTTTTTCTGATTCGTGTAGTTTAGCAATTACCATAGTATAGACTGTAGATTTAATAATTTTAACAATTTATTTTCTGTTAAACTTATTTTTGTCACTTACGCTATTATTTTCTACTGCAATCATAGCCATAAGCGGCACTTAGTAGAAACTTATGTGGGTGCATTCGCTTATTATGATTTAAAATCCTCTGTAAAGAATATGCACACACGCCATCTAGTGTACAAAACATATTATCAACTAATACGAAGTCACCACCGCATGTATGTTTCATGAGCGATAGTTCGCACGTCAAACCGAATAATATCAACAAAGCACGTTACCGACGGCCTATGTATATCGACGACAACGATGATTAATAATTAAACAAAGTTAATTAAGTCAACACACCTCCTATGCCTGATAYTGTATCTTACTACACTAGAACAATGTATCGGACACCATAAATAGGTATAACATTTTGTGAAAATATGATGAGAAAACATAACCAAAAGCAAATAAATCAAACTGCGGTTCTACATCGATGCCGTCACGCCTAACATTCATATAACTGCATCGGTATCATCATCTAAAACACATTCCGGTGCTTACCTAGAAAMCGAACACAGATATATAACATTGGAAAAAATAATTTAGTAATAGTAAACAGTTAAATTAACTATTATGTGACTACCGTAACTAGTAGTTTCGTTGTTATCACTACAATGAATAGCTGTGTGTACTTGTTACGAATAGTACCTAGAATAATGCTAGTAAAATTAAGTAATTGTTACAGTTATATATAAATTTAACAATTCAGTTTGGTTAATAAAACTATTATCTATAGTAAAACATTGTCAAACTACCAAGGGTGAATTCAGCAGGCTGTATAAATACGTATAGCTTGTATTTTAATAATATTATTAAGTTGGATTAAAAATAATGGGATTTCCCTTTAATATTTTGTGATAAATTATCATAATAATGATATATATTATATAATTATTATCGTCCCGTCCCTCCTATGCGTAACGTATCGCTGGTCGTGTGGTGACTGGTGAGACAATACCGACTGGAAAATACGGGTATAATACGGGTAATAACTCGTTTGTCGAACTAATATCGATTTTCGTGTTTCTGACGTTTCTGTAATTCATCTTGTGGCAGTCCTGGACGGAATGACACGTGGGTCAGTAGTGTCACTGGTGTAGGRAGTGGTGGAGGAAAAAAAACACAAACCGTTCGCGGTATTATGATTCTTTTATTGTKGTGATTGGTTAATTAGAGGAGGAAGTAATCCTCTGGCACAGTTAGATTATCAACAACAGATTATCAGAACAAAAAGCATGTCCAGAAATGGTACAAAAAGGTGCTATAAAAAAAAAGTTTTTTATAATTACTCTGGCATGCATGAAGACAAAGTTAATTTAGAAGATATTATTTTTCGCGGTGTTACATTAAATATTAAAAAACCTGATAATATTGTAAAAACGGATTCTGACCATATTATTCAAATAATGAGGATCAGAAAAGAGCAAAATATTGTATTTTTAGAGGGATATATATTCAAGGATGTTGCTGATGTTTTTCAATATCCATGTGCTTCATCAAAAGTGGGAATAATGAAACTAGGAAGATTGTCAGAAACAGAAAAAAAATTTTCATTAGACAGCATTATAAAAAATGCGTTTTTTTTTAGAATGACTGTAATCGTTTTGCCATCACTTATCTTCATGATTAATAAAATAAAAAATAATTTTAACTCCAATCGTAACATATTTTTTTTAAACAATTTTTAGTATAGTTAAATAATTATTATATAATACCTATATGGTATTTAATTTTAATTCAACATATATTTTGTATGTCACTGTTTTTTTGTTAGGTAACCAAGATGGACTTACTACGCATGTTGTTATCAAATTCCACGAAAAAAAAAACACGGAATGCAAAGCATTGATGTTGTACCAACTTCATGGGTGTATTGTAAAAAAGGAAAATTGTACTGTAAATATCCATCTGAAAAAGAATACAATAGATTAGATGAAATGAGTACAACATCAGCACTACCTGAAGCCCTTTGGAGAAAGTTTGAAATAACTTCAATTAAAGAAGCTAGTACGTACCATATACATCATTAAAATAACTTAATACTTTCAATATAATATGTGTTAATTAAGTATCAATTTTTATCATTAAAAGTCTTTTTTTACATTAAAGAAAATTATGATCAAGGATTAAGACGTATGAATAGGGCATGCTTTAATACTATAATTATTATCAGGAATTTAGAAGAGCAAAATAGTTCCGAAGAAGAAATAGGTCCTCTTTTTTAACTAACTGGCCCTGAATTAAAAGAATCCTTAAATAATATTGGATAATTTAATGAAAATGAGATTTTTTCAATAAATACAACCGACAAAAAAAGTAATGATTTGATTAAATAACTATTGTTTTATTGAATACATAAAGTTTATTAGTTTTTTTTTTATGCTACTTAATTAATTATACATAAAATAGATGATGGACACACAAAAAATAAAGTTTCCGACACAGTTTCTGAAGTCAATATCACTAGGATGCCATCGTCGTCATCATCATTAGAAAAAACAGTACAGACAAAACAATCGGACAAAATTGGCAGTATGTTAAATATATATATATATATATATATATATACATAATTCCATAATTAACGCAAACGCATGTCTTCGTTCCCCCTGGCTTCAAGAAAATAACTACTCAGCCACCATTCCAAGCTCATTTATCTTTAGACTCGGGGTTATACGCCTGGACCCGTGTGTATCTGATGAAGATTTCCGCGAAGGTCTCGAGTGCTGTTACGAAGTCATTGAATTTCGTTGTATCAACATCAAACGCGATAACATTTTAGTACCAACCAAACTCGTCGAAATCAAATTTCTTTCTCCTAAACTCYCTGATAAACTCAGCATTTTCAAAGTCATACATGTCGTCTCTCCCAGTATCCGATCTCCAGTACAGTGTATGCGTTGCCTCCGCTTCAGCCATACACAAAAGTTTTGTCGTAGCAAACAAAGATKTAGTCACTGCGGCGTTTTCGATCACGGAATAGAAACCTGCGATAAACGTCTCACTACCTCACCACAGTGCATTAATTGCAAATTAGATCACATTGCATCTGACCGCTCTTGTTCCGAATGGTCCAGCCAGCGGGAAATAAAAAAATATGSCTGTAGAGAACAAATCCTATGCCGAAGCCGCCCAAATCAAATGGTCTGGTACAGTCTGCAAGAGTCAAACCTACGCAGATGTTTCCAATCAAAACAAAGTCRCTTTTTTAAATTCTAATTCTGTACAAGAAGCTCCATCCTCTCACATTCATCATTCCCCCTTCCGTCTAATGTCYAATCTAAAAAAAAAAGAAAACATTTTGGCACATCCAAGTTTAACTCATCTCAAATCCCCCTCTCTCAACCACAGCATACTCCTTCATACTTCCCTAATGGTAGTTTCTTTAACTTTGTTGATCAACCTAACCTTAATGACTCACAATCCAATTTTATTGAATCTCTCACTGAACAGATATCGTCGGMGATATTACAGTCTGTCGATTCCCAAATTTATTCCCCATCTTCTCTTAAATCTCTAATCGGGTCTTCACTTCTCGAAGTTATATCTCCCTGCTCTGATGATGACGATACGTACTAACGATCGCATTAACTCTCCTCAGTTTCCAACGAACTTATCTAATAATTACAAAATACTACAATGGAATGTGAGAAGTATTCGATCACGTTCTTTGGACCTCGCTTCGGTTCTCCACTCCGAAGAATATTCGTTCGTGCTCTTATCCGAAACCTTGCTTCGACCAGGTCAAAAGTTTTCTTTACCACATTTCAATTTCATACGATCAGATCRGTTCAACGGCTATGGTGGTGTCGCGATTGCTGCCCACCAATCCATTCATATCAAAACGCTTCCAACTGATAATCTTCTTAAGAATAATTTACTTTGCCAATCTATCGATTTAGTCGGTATTCATTAATTCCAATAACTCCCTGTTTTTATGGTCCCTATATATTCCTCCTTCTTCCAACCCTTCTACTGCTTTAYTMAATAGCATATTTCAGCTTATTGGCACTAACTCCATTCTAGGTGGTGATGTTAACGGCTATCATCCGACCTGGGACAATAATTATAACCTAAACCATCGCRGCGATATTATTTATACCTCTTTTAGCAACTTAAATTTATATAGCCTTAATTCTGGGGCTGCAACACGCGTCAATCGCCCCCCTTTCGCCAATACCGCAGTAGACATAAWCATCACTATCAATACCCTATATTGGTCACTTTCCTGGCATCCTCTCGAGGAGCCCCATGGCAGCGACCACTTTCCACTGATAATCKAACATCATGCTCCTTCAACACTTACCTCAGCTGTTTCTAATCACGACACCATACCTCCAAAACTCAACTACTCCAAGGCTGATTGGTCTCTATTTTCCTCACATCTKGACTCACTTATTAATCATTTTGTCTTCTCGAACTCCCCACTAGATAATTATGATAACTTTGTTCATATTTTGAATACCTCTGCGAACATTGCWATCCCAACTACACGCATTTCCTCAAAATACCCAACAACCTCCCCCATCTGGTGGAACTCCACATGTTCTGAAGCGGTAAAACAACGATCAGATGATTTTAAAAAGTATAGAACTTCGGGTTCATCACGTGACTTTCTTACCTACCAAAATGTTAGCGCAAAGACTAAACGTTCTCTTAAATTAGCAAAAAAAAACTCCTGGGAAAATTTCTGTTCTACCCTCAACCACTCAACTCCGATACAACACTTTTGGACCACCGCTAAAAAATTCAAAAGGTGTGTTAACCGGACCAATTCCTCCCACAACAAGGAATGGTTTCCAACTTTTTGCGACAAAGTTGCTCCCCCGTACGTTCCCTCCTTACAGGAATCTTGCCCAGCTTCCCTTTCAACCATTAACAATAACAATCATGGTTCTCAATGTTCACATATGCTATCTGCACCTTTCAGCTCTAAAGAACTCTCTTCAGCCATTTCTTCCCGGTCCTCAATAGCTTCGGGTATAGATTGTATCTCTGAATCTTACTTCAAAACATCAACAAAGCTTCCGATTATCTATTACGTATTCTTAACGACATATGGATCTCAGGCCTAATCCCACACTCTTGGAAACAATATTATGTCATACTCATCCCTAAACCCAATACTTCTCTCACTGCATTTCGACCAATCGCCTTATCATTGTTTAACGAATATACTTCATATAATTTTCCTACCTTTGTTTAAATTTTTACTGATGGCTCGGTGTCTCCTAACTCAGCCGGCTTCTCCTTCTTCATCCCCTCGCTCAATATTTCTTTTGCTGACAAATTGCATCCCCTGACATCATCATTATCTGCTGAATGTTATGCTATAATTAGCGCTCTGCAATTCTCTTTCACATTAGAATACAGTTCTTTTCTTATCTTATCCGACTCGCAATCATGTCTTATTGCCATATCCACTGATTCGTTTTTATCTGCCCTGTCTCCTCTTGTTCTCGTCATCARATCCTTAGTATATTGCTTTGGACTAGCGTCCCGCATTGTCTAGTTCACGGTCAACTAGGTACCAGCCGAACCAAGATAGGGTAGGGTGCGACCAACTTTGTAATTATAGGAGAGAAAGAATTTCACGGAAATCATTAACATTACGGAAATGCATCATCAGGCGGGCATACGACTATAAAAAGATTATCAATAGGTGTGCACAGTACGTAGAGTTATGCATCGGTGCAGGGGTTTCGAGAACCAACAATCGAATATAATATCATAAAATATATTTAATAATAATAATATAATTATCGAAGTTTATAGCTGCACGGGATGCGCATTTTCATAGTATGTGGGCGAGTGGCATTTCGGTCAGTAAATATGAATATGTGATTATACCACTTCCGTGAGAGCAGCGACAAGAACGAGTAGACTATGGGGAGTAGAGGGTAGCACTATATAAGGGACCCCGAAACGGCCTGTATTCAGACGCGACTCAACCAGACTAGCCAGAGCAACTTCACGCCAGTTTGTTCTTTAATTAATTAAATTGGACTTAGAAARATTCTTATAAATAATATTCTGAACTTGGAAAATATTCGAGTCAAACCGAATTTATTCTAGTCATTCAGAATACTTAACTTGTTAAATAAATTCAGCTTTCATGTTATAAATAAATAAATATGTTTCGTCAAAATAAATAATCAAATAATCCAACTAAGAAGAATTCCATGTTGTTTAAATTAACTCAGGAGTCACCTTCCAAACATCATCCTTGACTATTGATACCTGTAGGCGACGTGATCACTACAATATCGTCTTAGTCTTACTGATAAAWCAGTTAAGTTTTTCTGGACCCCTAGTCATGTCGGTATAGCCGGTAATGAGCGARCCGACCACCTAGTTTTTCAACAAAATCCCTTATCTATTTTTCTCCTTTTAAAACACCTTCTTCCGATTTTCTTCCGATTCACCGCAAACTATTGCGCAAAGCCTGGCAAACTAAATGGGACTCTCTACCGCCTAACTATGCTGCATGGCATAGGCACATAGTTTCCTCTATTCCCAAACATCCTTGGTTTAAAGACCTCGAGATTTCTAGGCACCTAATCGTATCCTGCACTCGTCTTCGCATTGGTCATAGCTTACTTCYTCACCATTCTTCTAGACTTAATCTAAACTCTTCCCCTCCTTGTACACTACATCACGACGAATCGATATGCGATCTTGATCACATCCTTTTCAATTGCCCTTCTCTCATAACTAATTGACAACTCCTTTTCTCTTTTCTTTCTTCTTTAGGCTATATTTCTCCCGATTCTAATCTTCTTCTCAACTCCCGTTACATCCCTATCATCCGTTCTCTAATCCAATTCATTCATACCG